TCAATAAAGTTAACAAGTTCACTGAAAAAAGATCACACAAAAATTGCATAAAATCCTCGCATTTAGCTATAACTTCTAATATTTTTTCTTATTATTTTTCTACTTTTTCTAAACAGACAGAATCACATGTTATTTTAAATGTTTAGCAACAATATCATCGTTACTTTTTAAAAAGTTTTTAAAGATTTTATTTGTTTTTTAGAGAGAGGATGAGGGAGAAAGACAGGGATAGAAAAAGCGATGCGCAAGAGAAACATCTATCCGACACCTCTGGCATGCCCCCAACCAGAGACCCAGCCTGCAACCCAGGCATATGCCATGACAAGGAATTAAACTGGGGACCCCTTGTTTGGTTCACAGGCTGGCATTCAATCCACTGAGTCACATCAGCCAGGGCTTCCTTTTTTATTTTTAATTAAAAAAAATTTTTTTTGTTACTTTTGTATTTCAGTAATAGATATAAGATTTTAAAATATAAATGCTAGGATTATAAACTTCTACAACACATGTATATTTCATAAAAATATCAGAGAGGTAACAATTCATATGTAAAAAGTTAAATCTTGTGGGTGCATACATAAAATAACTTCCATATTCACCCTAAAGTAACATGAAGAAGGGAGGACAAAGAATATGGGCAACTAATCATTAAAATACATGGTAATGGACAAGGTATTTATAATCTGGCAATAAATAATACAGCAACTTTATTATATTTAAAGAATTATTTGGCAGCTTCACGCAGTATGAGGGAGTCAGCATAGTATTGAAATCTTGAAAAAGTAGTCAGTGAATCCTTTTAAACTATTAATATTAAGGTGATCAGCAGGTCTTTGCCCTTTCTGATTCCCTTGGCTAACTCCTGCTTATGCTTAAAGATTCAACATAGCCAGAGTACACTGTGGGAGCTTCACCCTAACTCTCTAAAACTTAAATGATCCTCCTTTGTTGAATCTTACTTTCTTTATCATAAACTGCTCTGTAAACTCCTCAAACCAAGAACCTTTGTATCTTCAACACAAAGCAATGACTGGCCCAGGACTATCAAATAGAAAGAATGCTCGTTAATCAATGCTTGAGTGGAACTAGACTCTTCTAAAACTCAGTGCCTTTCCTCCTCACATGGGGGTATTGAGAATATTTTTGTAGTCAGAAATCCTCTCAGCCTATTTCACAACTGAAACAGTATAGACCTGCCTACTGCATTTTATTTTTAAAAAGTGTTCCTTTCCTTCTGGCTGGTGTGGCTCAGTAGATTGAGCACCAGTCTGCAGACTTGAAAGCTTGACAATTCAATTCCTAGTTAGGTCACACGCCTGGGTTGAAGGCCAGGTCCCCAAATGGGGGCATGAGAGAGGCAATCCATTGCTCTTTCTTTCACACATGTTTCTCTTCCTCTCTTTCTCCCCTCTCTAAAAATAAGTAAATAAAAAAATTTTTTTTTAAAGAAAAGTGTTCCTTTCCTTTCCTCTTTCACTCTTATCTCCTCCCTCCCTCCCTACAGAATCCACTATAAAAAGGAGCATATTCAGTTTATAACCAAGACACAAGGGACATCTGCTTAAGTTTAATAAACAGGTGACAATTTTCATATAAGATTTCCACCTCTAAGTATAATCATAGTGTATAAGTTAAACTAATAAAAACTACAGCCAATCTTGAAGATTATTTTCAAATGAGGCAAGCCAACATTCACATAAGCCTCTTTACCCTAATCCTAATGTAGACCAGAGAACAAATGAGAAATAAAAATGAACTGTTTCAAAAACATTTAAATACACTTATGAATGCCAGATTGCTAATAAATTAAGTACAACTTAACATTCGGAAGTGTCAGGAAAGGTAACTATACTCTTCCATATAGTGGCCCTTCCCTTAGTGTCTTTGACAGTCATAAACCACTGTTCTGGTAGAACCACCAATTAACAATGTATAGGCAGTTACGAAATTCTTAAATCCTTCAGAAAACTTACAAAGAGAAATGCTGGCATGTTGCCAAATTCAGTGTACAATAAGGATATCATACACTTTCTACACACACAATCCAAGAGACATAAAAATATAGTAAAATTGTATTAGTACTGAACTGAAAAAGCATATGCTAACTGGGAAATCTCTGCTAATATTCTTAAAATTGTACCTGCAATTATCTAAGTTCTTATAATGATAAATTTATTTTAATGTCTCCAGAGCTATGCCTATACCATCCTATCAACATTATTCAATTCAGTGATTTCTATAGAACTACCAGCTCCTGAAGTTAGAAGGAACATGAGAGAGAATCTGCTCCAATCTTCTGATTTTATAGATTTAGGACAAGAGGACTGCAAGTTGAAGTGACTGGCTCAAGGTCACAAGGGGGGGGGAAGCAAAGATTTCTGTTTAAGTACTCTATAGCTTCACTGCAGAAACAAGCTTAGTCACAAATATTCTAGGTTATGGCTTATTAAACTTTCTAGCATATGACCATAATGCAATGACTAACTAAACCTTAAGCTAAAGTTTTACATAATTAACAGTGGTTTAATATATAAACAAACAGGTTTCTCATTCGTTTTAAAAATCAGTGAGTTAAGGAATCATTCACATTTTAAAAATAACCATTTTAATATCAAAAATTGATGTCTATATTTACAGGTATGATGTAATTATATTTCAAAAAGAAATTGGTCATTATTGTAAGCCACCGCTCAAACTAAAACCAAGTGCAAAAGATTTCCTCTCTGGCACTAAAAGTAAAAATCCCAGTTACAACAGTTTTCTTTGAGTATTAATACTTGCCTGTAGCAAATTTCAAGATACAAGATTTGCCCTACATAAATAAAAATACCATGAATGCTTATTAGGATCACATATACATTAAACCAGGACAAAATTATTGACACGTAAATCAAATGAAAACTGAAGATTGATTGTAATATTAAAGCAGGAGAAAAAGTGCAATACCACAACATAGCAGAAAGCTATGCAACAAACTCTTCAAATCATTTGAGTCAATTATCTATGGCTTCCCAAGTAAAACACCTTAGTACATTAGGATACTAAAAACAGATAATACATTTTAATTCCATTGAACTATCCTGTTAGTAAAATATGAAGGGAAAACATCAACATATTTCTTAAAAAAGCAATACTGAAAGAACTGCAGATGGTGTCCTGATAATGGAACTAGTTCATCCTATTTTAAATGGCTACCAATTTCCCTTTCCTTATAGAATGAATGCTGCCCGACAGAAAATCTAATTTAAAATATGCAAAAGGACAAAGATCTTTCTTCAAGGCCACGGATACTGCAAGACTGCAATAAAAACTAAAGATCTTTAGTACATCCCAATAAGTGTAATGTATGCTCCACTTCATTCATAGGTGAACTGAGTTCTTACTGAAAATGAATACCACCAAAAACTAAAGGCCTTTAATACGTCCCAAGAAATGTAATGTGTGCTCTTCACTCATAGGAGAACCACAGTTCTTACTGAAAGACAGTTTTACAAGAGAATTTTAACAAACCTCAATATTTACTTTTGAAACCCAGTTTCATGATAGTCTGAAATCAAAATATTCTATAGATGAAGTAACTGAGGTGCAGAAAGATGGTTAAGCCAGAAACAAAAATTTCTAACCTAAGGAGTTTGTAAACTTGTACACTACTGACAAGAGAAGGTGGCCCTGCAAGAGCCTGCAACAATCAAAACACACACACACAAAACAAACAAAAAACTTAAAAAGCAAATACAGTTTTTAAAAAAGTACAGAATCCCACAAGGCAAGCAAGACCCATAACAATCCCAGGGCACCATTAATCCTGAATCTTAAAGAAAATATTAAACAACATAAGATGACTCTGGTTAAGACATAAGTATGTAACTTGTTATAAAATAATCCCATCTCAAATGGTTAAAATAAAAGGGGGAATGCTAAAAGGGCTAAATTTTCTGATACATAACACATTATCAGTGAAAGAAGCGTCTATCTAGACATCTGTGCCTTTTCTGGATTTTATGGCACAGTTTCAAAAATGTTTACACACAGCCTCCCCACCTTCATTCCGAACCGGTAAATGGCCATTCTTTGCCAAATGGGAATACATACAGATACACATATATTCCCCGTATTTGGTTTTAGCTACGGAAAGTTAACGTACCCCCAAATTTCCAAAATATTTAACTGTTCCTTCGAAGTATTTCTGACCATTATTGCAAAAACTTGTTCGTACACATATAAGTAGTGTTGTGAGAAATTAAAATCAATGCACAAAATGGTGCTTTTATAACATCGCTAGAAAGACCGGCAGTTCTTAATGCCCGCAAACCTCGACTTAGCACTTTAAAAGGCTAAAGATAAGCCAAATTCGCACACTTCCCCCAAGGCATATGGAACTTAGTAGCCATCATTTTCTTCCTAAAGTAATAATCTCCTCCTAAAAGGCCTGCGCTGCTCACCCGATCCTCGGAAACGTGGGGGAACTTCGAGACAGCTCTGGGATGAGAGAGGAAGAGACTGGATTTGAGTTTTTGAAGAATGCTGAACTAGGTGGACTGGGCCTCTTAACTATTCACGATAGACGCTGTCCCTACGAGGAAATAAAAGGTCGCAGTCGGAGTAAAGTCTGCCTTCAATCTAATCTTAACTCCTGTGATCCAGGCTCCTGGCCCGCCACTCTTCCAACCCTGACAGTGTGACAGGTTACGCCTTGCCCTCCCCCACCAATCCTCCTACCTACCCCACATTAGTGTTTAGTCTTACAGTTTTGAAGCATCAAAAATCACCCCGGCTCCCTAGAGTTCAGGCCGCCGTCGCTGCCGCCATATTACAGCTTGTGCGGCAAAATGCGTCAGGGAGGGAGGCGTGCGCCCGAATGGAAAGGGCGGGGGCTGGCAGGGGGAGGACCGCTTCCCAGGCCCGAGTGAGACGGCTGGAAGCCACCCCCAAGTGCAACAGCTGCAAAGCCGGCGCCAAGGTCCTTGAGGGTCCCCTGTCGAACCAGGCAGCCCCATTACCTTGAGAGGAAGACGGTTAACTTCGCAGGGCCTATCGCGCCGGCTCCGCCCCTCTTCTCGGGCTCTTCCCGCTCTCGCACAGGCGACTGTAGCGAAGGACGCCACCGAAACAACACGGCCTTCACACCACTTACCTGCACCTCTACCGTCTCCTCTTCCCCGGGTCCTTTAAAACGCTTCAAATCTACCGCCGCCAGAAAGGCGCTAAAGCCCACTACCCGCCTCCCTCCCCCACAACCCAGTCTCGGTTTGGAGGGACAGCGTCGCGCCGGAAGTACGTCATGGGTTGGTTGCCCTTATTCCTTGAAGTTCCCGTGATTGCGTCACCTAGTTTATAGGTAAGTTTAATACTCTGTGGGTGAGTTGATTGGGAACTTTTGTAATTGTTAGAATGCCGTATCGTTAGTGAGATGAAGAGTTTCATTTAGTAAATGTTTATTGACCCTCTGCCACAATACTGAGAAGAAAGCCCTGCCTTCAAGAAGCTTCCAGTTCATGCTTTGACTGGGGTGGCTCAATTGGGAGTCCTACAGCAAAGGTTGCTGGTTAGGTTTAGGGTCAGGGCGCATGCCTGGGGTGCATAGGAGAGGCAACAAATTTATGTTTCTCTCACATAGTATGTAATATGTTTCTTTCGCTTTCTTCCTCCCTTTTCCTCTCTCTAAAAATAAATAAATAAAATATTAAAAAAAAAAAAACCTTCCAGGGAACACTGAAAAAAGTGCTATTTGAGGAAAAAAGAAAGGTACAAAGTCATTGATTATCCTTGTGATTTTTCAAAAAAGATTTTATTTAGTTTTAGAGAGAGGGAAAGGGAGGCACAAAGAGGAGAGAAACATATATGTGTTGCACACGCCCCCAACTGGGTACCTGGCCCATAACTCAGGCATGTGCCATGACTAGGAATCAAACCTGCGACCTTTAGCTTTGCTGGATGATGCCCAACCGAGTAACACCAGTTAGGCCCGTTGTTTTTTATAGTCTCAAAACAACCCATGATATTATTATTGTTGTTTTGCAGATAAAGAAATTGAGGCTCAGGGAGGATGATTGTCTCCTTCCAAAACACAGTTTCTAAATATCAAAGCAAGTCTTTGACTCCAAATTCAGTACTCTCTAGGGCAGGGGTGTCCAAGCTGTGGCCTGCCGGCTGCATGCAGCCCAAGATGGCTGTGAATGCAGCCCAACACAAAATCATAAATTTACTTCAAGTATTATGAGATTTTTTTTGGTGATTACATGTTGCAAGGTATTTGATGTATAGCCCAAGACAACTCCTCTTCCAGTGTTGCGCAAAGACACCAAGAGGTTGGACACTCCTGCTCTAGGGGAAAAGGGTACATACTATTATTTTTAAGAAGAAAGAGTCCCTACCTGGCCAGGTAGCTCATTTGATCAGAGCATCCTCTGGATATACCAAGCTTGTGGATTTCATCCCTGGTCAGGGCACATACAAGAAGCAACCAATGAATGTATAAAGAAGTGGAACAACAAAATCAATGTTTCTCTCTCTTTCTCTCTCTCTCTCTCTCTCTCGATCAATAAATAAAAAAAGAACTAAAATTCCCTAGATTAGGTTAGAAATTATTGCCCACTGCTGTTTGAGGGAAGGGGTACTGGGGCAATCCTTGTGGGTATGTGAGGCAAATTTTAAAGGAACTAGCTAAGAGAACTTATATTTTATTATTGTGTAAAAAATACATTATTTAAATTTTTCACTCATTTGTCTTCTGTGAATTAATTATCAACAGTTAGGTGTGTGGTACATGTTCGGGTCTTGACCAATTTTGCGTAGCTATAAAACTGAGAGAACAATTACTTAAGCCATTGATTGCCTTTATTGCAGGGGAGCAACAGAATACTGATCTTTGGACAGTTCAGGGGTTGTATAATTTACACTTGTCGGTGAGGAGGGTAATTCTACAAGACCTTAAAATATCTGATTTATATGAAGCACTATATTAAGATAGGTTTTTTTGGTTTTTTTTTTAGTATTGGTTTGTTTGATTTTTGTTTATCAGCTTTCATCAGAACATATTTTTATTTAGCTATGACATACAGGCTAGTTTCCCAGACTTCTACTCACTGGTAGAAGTAATGTGTAGGTGATATTGCTCTTACATTGGTGTATTCTTCCCCTTCTCACCCATCCAGTCAGAGACATTTTTGAGGATATTTTACAGATCATCATGAGGCAGGATAGTAAGAAGCTAGGAAAATTTCTTGGCAAGTGGACTAGGGAAGCTGAGACAGAGCTGAACACAATGGATGAGCAATTTACATCCAGGTGCAGATGGTCACCAGGACTGAAGGCCTCCAGTACCTGGCAGGGGGCAAACTGGGGGAAAAAAAGGACCTTGCCCCCAGGGTAACCTCTTCTCCCCAGAGATAACATCTAGGCCTCACTTGTATTTCACCTCCAGGACCAGAAAAGCATCAAAACCAGGTGGGTAACCCAAGGACCAACTACACTGACTAAAAGACACGCTGCCCTGCCACTGACCAATCAGTGGAGACCATGACCCTAAAATGGCACACCTGGGGAACTGAGGAATGTTCTGCTGAAACACTCACCTAAGACTTCCCCTAAGATTCCCTGCCTGTAAGAGAGAGATAAAAGCCTCAAGACAAAGGACCTAGTGTGCTTGCACTTTCTCCCTTGGGAGGCAGGCGATCAATGTTTCTCTCTCACATCAATGTTTCTTTCTCTCACTCCCCACCTTCCTCTCTCAGTAAACATCTCTGGGGTTAGTGGGCATGCCCTCAGGTCAGGACTAAAAAAAAAATTAACCATCACAATAGGTATTGCACAATTTATCCATTCTGTTCTAGTTGGATATTTTCGTTTGTTTTTAGTTGGATGTATTTGTTTGTTTTTAGCTTTAGCTATTATGAAAAAAAGCTGCGATGAACATTCTTTTATCTAATATATGGGAGCACATGTATTATGTTTATGTGTTGGAGATATACCTAAGAATGGAACTGCTAGATCTTAGCACATGGATAGGATCGGTTTTAGTAGAAACTGCCAAAGTGTTTTATGAAATGATTGTACAATACTATTATTATATATGCCTTTTGATTCCAGCATTAGTAAGAGCTCTCATTTGCAAATAAGAGAAACCAAGTTTAAACTAGCTTATGTGAAATTGGGTATGTATTGCTTCATGAAACAAAACTGTTAAGACAATGTGGTTGCTTTAAAATATGTCCATAAATTATTTAATGTGACTTTCTTCTAAAGAATAGAATAAGGTAGACTGACAATATGTGATTTTGGAAACTAGGTTGTAAAATGCATTTTGATTTCCTCCTTGCTGTGTCTCTCAAATCACTCACTCTAGGAGAAATCAGCTGCTTTGTCATGAAGACACTCAAGCACGAGAGAGAGGGAGAGAGAGAGACAGAGACAGAGAGATATCAAGGTGAGAAAGAAACATCAATCAGTTGCCTCCTGCACATTCTCTGACCAGGGATTGAAGCTGTTAGGATGGCTGGTGCTGGGGACCGTGAAAGAACGCACAAAGAGAGAAAAATGCAGAGAGCAAAATTTTTATTAACTTTCCAAGAGAGGAAAGGGGCTAGGTGTGAAGAGATAGACCAGCAATGAAAGATTGGGGCTGTGAGTTTTTATTGGATGATAAAGGAGGAGGGAGTTGCAGCTGGGTGGTTGTGGTAATTAGTTGTAAATCAGGTTGTTTTGGGCTGATTGTGTAGGCTCAGTTTGTTCTGGTGTTATCTTTGGATTTGGACACTCCAGTCTGGTATGTCCTGTTTGTATATGTTTTAAAACATTTGTGCAGAGGATGTTTTCAGTAATCTCTCCAGTTGTCAGAATAGAGGCTCAGAGAAACAACAGTTAGTTATGCCTGAAAGACTCAAGGAAAGAGAGATAGCTAGCTCTGGTAACGAAGGCCTGAAAGGATACTTTTTGTCTTTTTAGAAGCACAACCTAGGTATGTGCCCTGATCAGGGATTGAACCCTCAACCTTTTGCTTTACAGGACAATACTTCAACCAACTGAGCCACCTATCCAGGCCAGAGCTTACCTCACATCTTCATAGCCTGAGTCTCTGTCAGATCCAATTATAAAAGGCCAGGGAAGTCTTTGATTAACTTTGCAGTGACAGCCACAAAATTTGAGCTCCCACTTACATAGTGAGGGTTGTCACTGGGAAATAACTGTTCTGCTAAGAACTACATTTTCTACCTGTCTCCTTGCATCTAAGTAAGGATATGCAAATACTTATCAGTGAAAAGCATGTGAAATGATGTGTATTACATTCAAGCTAAGATGTTTATGAAGCGTTATGCCTTTTCTCTGTCCTCTCTTCCTGTTTTTGTCAGCTGGATACAGAGGGTTTTACAGCCCTAGGGGATTATGGAAGAAGCCTAGTTCCCTGAATCTCTGTGTGGAGAAAGTCCACCACCGTCCAGGGATAACCACAGTGGAATGTGATGTAATTGAGAAATCATATTTTTCCTTTCCTCCAATCCCTGGTAACCGCTGTTCTACTTTCTGTTTCTATGAATGGCTGCTTTCGATACCCTACGTAAGTGGAATCATACCATATTTGTTCTTTTGTGTCTCGCTTACTTTACTTAGCTAGCGTCTCAAGTTTCATCCATGTTGTAGCAAGGGTCAGAATATAGTCCTATTGTATATCTATGACAGTTTCCTTATCCTTTCATCTACTGATGGACACATAGGTTGCTCCTGCCTTTGGTTATTGTAAATATGCTGCTATGAACATTTGTGAACCAAAGGGGCCACATGCTAAACCTGAAGAGCTCAGGGAGACCTGCACGGCGGCCTTATTAACTCGGAGACCTAAAGTAACCCACAAAGGATGGTCTGAAATTAAAACTTCTTAACTAGAAACAGTTTATGGCAGGTAGTCATAGTCATGTCCTAGGCTAGACTCTTCCCTGACAAAAGTCAGTCTTTCCTTTATTAAGGCTGTCTACTGTTTCTTTGCATCTATGATAACATACCTTAGGAATGTCAAAGTAATTTTGTTTTTCCAGACTGCTCAAAGCTCAGATACCTCACCAGAGAACCAAAGGGAAGACAAGAAATCCCCTGATTGTTATTGAGTTAATTGTTGACTGTTAACTATCCTGTACCCCACCTATCTGAAAGAAGTGTGTGTCTATCATTTTACTTTTTATCCAGTCCCAGAAGCTCTCCACTTCCTGCCCCTCCTTCGCTTTCTCCTTCCTTCCTAAGCTATCACCAATAAATTTCATGTAACCCCCTTATG